AAATTATCATAGGAATGGAGTTGTAAGTAGTGGCTGGTTGTCTTTTGTAATTATTCCATGTCACAATAGCATTCAATTATATTAATTTACAGAGCCGCTATTTTTGATGGGCACTGTCAGATGTAAGTATGGATATTGGTGAGACACTTACCCTACCTTCCAGTTGCTCATAGTTTAGTAAGTGAGTGAACCGGCTGTGGTTTCTAACACATCTCTACAGGAAGCTGTCTCTCTAACAGTCTGTCAGCTCTTCACCTGTTTATTTGTGGTGAAAACCCATCTTAAAAAAAAAAATAATAATAATAACATGAATGATGGAAGCACTGTGGTTTGTATGAACTCCTAAACTCAAGCTGTCCTCCCACGTCAGCCTCCCAAAGTGCAGGGATTACAGGCGTGAGCCACCACACCCGCCTGAAATGGAGCATCTTAACCGTGGTGAAATGTGCAGTTCAGTGGCATTAAGTACATTCACTTTGTTGTGCAGCCGTCACCACTACCCACCCACAGAACGTTTTCACATTCTCCAACTGAAACTCCGCACCCATTAAACACTCATTTCCCGTTCCTCTCCCCTCAGGCCCCGGCAACAACCATTTAACTTTCTGTCACTACAAGTGTGACTACTCTAGGGACCTCACGTCAGTGGAACCATACAGGATGTGTCCTTTTGTGTCTGGCTTACCTCACTTGTCACAATGTTCATACCAGCGTTGATCCATGTAGCAGCACGTGTCAGAATCTCCTTGCTTTCTCAGGCTGAATAATATTCCACTGTATGTCTGTATCACAGTTTGTTTATCCACTCTTTGGTCTATTTTTTTTCTTTTCAGACCGAGTCTTGCTCTGTTGCCCAGGCTGGAGTGCAGTGGCACAATCTCAGCTTACTGCAACCTCTGCCACCCAGATTCAAGGTTTCTTCTGCCTCAGCCTCCTGAGTAGCTGGGATTACAGGTGTGCACCACTATGCCTGGCTAATAATTGTTTTGTTTGTTTGTTTTTTTTGAGACAGAGTTTGCTCTTGTTGTCCAGGCTAGAGTGCAATGCCATGATCTTGGCTCATGCAACCTCCGCAACCTGGGTTAAAGCAATTCTCCTGCCTCAGCCTCTCAAGTAGCTGGGATTACAGGAATTCACCACCACATCCAGCTAATTTTGTATATTTAGCAGAGACGGGGTTTCTCTATGTTGGTCAGGCTGGTCTCAAACTGCCAACCTGAGGTGATCCACCTTCCATGGCCTCCCAAAGTGCTGGGATTACAGGTGTGAGCTATTGCGCCCAGCCTCATAGGTCTATTTTTTTTTTTT